TGATGTTCTCAAAACAACAAAAAAACAGCGAGTAAACGGTCAATAAACAGCCAGTAAATGGTAAGAAAACGTTTAGAAAACGATCCGTAAACGGTGAAAAAACGATTTATTTAAGATCCTAAAACATTACGAGTTTTAGGTTCTGAAAACGGTCCGTTTAGGAACTAAAAACGGTCCGTTTACGGCACGTTAACTTACCGTTAACGACCAGTTAACGGGCCGTTAACGGTGCCGTTTTCTTGGACCTGGGTGTATGCAACATTCCATTCAGATTTCTTGATAAAGTATATATACAAACTGATGGAGTAGCAATGGGATCACCTTTAGGCCCAATATTAGCTGACTTATTCATGTCAAATCTTGAGCATAAAATTAATAGATTCTCAACAAATAAACCATTAATATGGATTAGATATGTAGACGATATATCCTGTATTTTTAAAAAACAACAAAATATTAATTACCTTTTAACAAGAATTAATAAGTGGCACCCTAATATAAAATTTACAATTGAACATGAATGTAACGAAAAGTTGGCCTTCTTAGACGTACTAATAAGCCGAGATAATATAAATAATAAATACAATACCACGGTATACAGAAAACCTACCAATACCAATCTGTACTTACTATATGAAAGTAATCAATGCAGAGAATATAAATTAGGTTTAATTCGAACGTTAGTCATTCGCATACTTCTAATTTGTTCAACAGATGAATTAAAGAATAATGAACTTAAATTAATGAAAGAAACCTTAACAATGAATGGTTATCCACAACACTTAATTAAAAGGGGCATGCGTGAAGGAGAAATAATCACATAATAATAATAATCAAATAATAATCAATCAAAAAAGTCTACTTTCTTCTCTCCTATTATGGTCGAGAATCAACCATATTAGCTCATAGAATTAAACGAATATGTGAAAAATTTCTACCGCTTATAGAAATTAATGTATGCTTCAGAAAAACTTTTACAATCAAAAGTGTAGTTCTTCCCATCCAAAAAGGACTAGATGAATCAAAAAAGAAAAAGAAATTAGTATATAAGATACCATGCTTGAATTGTGAAAAATGTTCCATTGGTGAAACCGGTAGAGAAAAGGAAACTAGAATGAAGGAACATCAATCGGACATCAGAAAACAAACCGAGTCCTCGAATGTAGCTAAGCATACTAATAAAGAAAAGCATACATTTGATTTTACACAATGTGAGACTCTAGCTCTTGAAACAAACTGGTGAAGAAGAATTATTAAAGAAAGTCTATTTACACACCAAATGAAAGGAAAAGCCTTAAATGACGCAAAATTTAAATTAAACATCTTTGCATAAAACTATTACAAACTTATCAATTATGAGTCAGATTATTAGCTCTTGTCTATCTATGTCTTTTTCTTCTTCTTTTGATGTAATATCAATTAGTGATCACATTATTGGCTTTTTCTTGTTCCTTCTCTATCTGTACTCTATTAATTAGCACTCTTACTATATATAGAGAGATTGTATTTCACTTTTCTGTTTTTCCTGATAATGATAAGTGTCTCTTTATCGAAAGCTTGAATAAACCATAAATTGATTTTTGTTAAAAATCTATTATGATTTTTGTAGCAGTGTTATACTCATTAATTTCAGAATTGTTTTTCATTGCATTAGTGTCACTATAGTGGATACACTTAGACCAGAATCTACATACCCCGTTTGCGCAAGCGAAATTTTTTCTGGTTTTGAGACATCTACGCCCTAATTCTTTGAAAGGCAAAAAATTCAATGACATGTATGTTTACTTTTGTCAGACGTGCGTGTAACGTTCTGTGGGTTGAAAATAAAACATCACAGGTTAGGTAGGTTAGGACTAGGTTACCGACGTCATAGATTGGGTTAGGATTAAGTTGTGAAATTTTTTATAGTTTAGGTTATAAGTGGCAACCTACGGGGCTCTGCTTTACATGGGAACGTTTACCAGAGCTCTCTATCTCGTTTCGTTTTGAAATGACACACAAAACAAAGTCTGACTGTATAGGATGACGAATAATTTTTCGACACCCCAATGAAAGTACTCATACTATGTGTACGACGTTACGCATAATTCGTCCATGAGTACTCATGAGTTTCACTAACAAATTTTGAGTGTTTTTACTCAGTTACTCCTATGAGTGCTCAAAAAATATTCATTCAGCGTTTTATTTTTCAAAAATGAAACTGTATAAAGAATGTCGAATTTAGTAAACAAACATAGAATATTTATATTACTTTTTTCTCGCTGGTCTCTCGGTACATAGTCGGAGATGGACTCGTCTGTGCATAGACTTGTATAGTCCAACTCTGGTTGCCACTCCTCTATATGAAAATACCAGATGAACAATACTCATGAGTATTTTGCCAAAATTTATATGGGTAATCAACAATACCCAACCAAGAGTACTCAAAAGAGTACTCAATGGTAAAAAAATGTGTGACTACTTGGAACATTTTTCAGGTGAGTACGACTTTGAGTAGTCAAGCTTTAGTACATTCACTAGGGGCTGCATTTATAACTGCTAAATTAGCAATATTGATACTGCATTTTTCTGTTTACATGAGAGTAGGTTCGCGATTCTTCTGTTTGTTGGCTGTATCTCTCGCACACGAGTCGTCATCATCATACTACGCGTTTATTCAAGCATAAAAATATTATTTGCATATATAATATAAATAGCTTATAAGATGTTTATGATCACAATATAAATAAAGTATCAAATAATAATTGTCATTCTAACACAAAACGTTCTTCAGTTTTTGCCTCATCACGTTGTATATTTTATATTATTTGTGCAACACTCAGGGGTATCTTTCCAGTTAAAAATTAAAGTGAGTTAAACCTTTGTTTGCTATGGGTAACAGAGAGGATAAGGAAAAACAACTCAAACTTTCGTTAACGTACAAAGGTATGAGTAATTTATATTTGGCATGTCAATCTGGTAAAACAGATATTGTTCGACAAATCTTAGAAAAATGTTCATATCACGATTTAAATCAAATTGAACCGAATGGTAGTACACTATTACATGCTGCTGCTATGAATGGTCATCAAGATATTGTTCGATTGTTAATTGAACATGGCTGTCAACGTTCAGTTGTCAATGCTGACCGTTTGACAGCATATGAATTGGCACCCAATGATGAAGTTCGTCGACTCTTTCATCGTCCAGCTAGTAGTAGACGTGAACGTTTTCATAATGATAATGTTGACGATTGCTTTGAAATTGTTAATGAATTAGAAGAAGAATCGTCGCTTCCATCGGATAAAGCTGCTTCTATTGAAAGAAAGGAATCAGTACAAAAGTACAAAACGTCGGAAGAAAAGCGTCATGAAATGGGTTATGCCGCCTCATCAAAAGCCATGTGTCGATCGAAACTAGGTCGTCTACTAGTCGATTATGTTCATGATGATGCACCGTTAGAATTAGAAACAATGGCCAGACATTTGAAAGAAATTGTTGATCGAGAAGTAGCCAAGAATGATGATTCAGAATGGGAAAAAGCCAATGACTTGCTAAATAGATTCATTAACCATAATGATCATTCAATTGAACATTTGTTTCATTTGTATACACTTGAAACACGTTTCTATCGTGTATTGAAAAATGATTCTATTCCGCTGGCTATTCCTATCTATACTAAATTGCCTAAATTAAAAGAACGCTATTTTCAGGGACAATCATATCGTGGAGCATGTATGACAGTCAGTGATTTAGAAGCTTATGAGTGGGCTGTCCAACATCCTGGAAGTCTTTTACAAACCACAAATTTCTCGTCAACGTCGCTTAATCGTCAAATAGCAGAAGAATTTATAGCGACAAGTGAAAAGAATACCAATAAACGGACTGTGGTGTTTATTTTTCATTTTCCAAAAAAATGCGATCAAGCTATTAACTTGGGTAAAATATCAGATAAATTACCGTGTTTATCCGAATATGAAGATGAAGCAGAAGTATTAGTATTGCCATGGACATTATTCGAAGTAAAGAGTGTTTATAAAAATGATGAGAATGACACTTGTTCGATTTATCTACGAAATGTTTTGATTCCACATAAATCTCTATTGTCAACGTTTCTTTGGACAGCTAGACATTCGCGTGAGCGTGACTGTGCATTTCAAAAATATAAATCTAAAAAATAATATAAAGCAACAACATCGCTCAATCATTCGATTCATGCAAGTCCAAACTAAATCATGTTGAGAATGCGACTCATTCATTTATTATAAGACACTACATTCACCCTAAATATGAATACGGGGCAGCGGAATTCATAGAACCCTATAGTGATAAAATTTTCAAAATTAGCAAAAATAATTCAGGAATTAGCATCAAATTCAAAAACTGAAAATGTGACCTTTTATCAATTTCTTGAATTCGAAAAAGTCAAAAATTCTTGGAATTGGCGTTGACTTGAACAATTCTTGGAATTCAAGTATTTAGGACTTGAAAGAACACATCAATTTTTAATTACTCAACAGCCACAACCACGAATTAGATGGATCAGGGTGGATTTCACCGGTTCCGCAACAAACATAGTCATTTCTCATCTTAATTGTAGGATTTCTACCAATCATTAACCAACCGACCCGGAAAGAGAAGGTGTCTAGGATTACCCACTTCCAAGGAATTCCTATGGTATTTCAATAATTACAGTTCCGATTAGATAAACCAGTTCCTTTAAAAGATCTCAAAACTCCTTGCATTACAAACTACAACGAAGTGGAAGCCACAATTCTCGAATTCCAAATCAATTCTACTAGAGAACTGAAAATTCCTCACAGAGTATCCGTTACAAATTATTTTCTTTTGTAGAAACTTTTTTTATTGATGAATAAGAGAAGAACATAAGTAAATCGTTGTACAAATTATTTCCTAAATACTTATTGTGAAATATTTTTTCTGAGCAGAATTACGAATCGAAATTCCCATTTTTACAGTGGAATTTTCGGAGAAAAACAACTTTTGTTATCCATTCAACTAAAATTTTCTTATAGAAATCATAATTCCGAAATTTTAGATTCATTCTTCGGGTGAAATTCCTACTGTAGCGTATGAATTTCTGAATTTTAGAATATTTCTTAAATTAGAAAAAGATGATTTCTGAATTCTTGAATCAAGAGAAAGCTGGATGCTAATTCCAAAATTCTTTGTGCTAAGCTTGAAAATTTTATCAGCTATGCTAAATATAGCAGTTGTTTAGTGATTTTCAACAATCCGACATAATCAGTTCACTATTGCTTTGATTTTGATTGTATCAACAGTTATATAAGTTACTAAATTTTGTTATTTTTCTGAGTAATTTTTATTCTTACTTTTAATTTTATTACAATTGCTAACGATGTTAAAATGATATAACTTCGAACTTTTTTCGTTTTGTAAACGCGTTTAGAAACGACACGTTAAACGCGTTCAACAAAAATGTCAGAAAAGGGTTAATTTAACAATTGTAATGTACAATGGTTTATATTCATATATACATACAAAAGGAAAAAAGAACTTTATGAAACTAAAATATTGAGTCTTTTAAGACTCTGAAGGAAAAACTCAAAAAAATTCAATAACTTCGCAGGAAGCAACAAGAACCCAAATCCTTTTAGTCTTTTGACTATCTCAGTATACTCTATCGATTCACTTATGAACGAAGAAAAACTGAGTTGGTCACTTGAGAATGATTCCTTGTAAGCACTTTTCATCAATATTCAGCTGCTGACAGCCATCAGGTGATCTCGAACCATTATACCGTATATAACATTCTTATAAGAGTCTATCAATCAATTTCTTATATAAGATAGTTTAAGATTTTCCATCGACTGTCGTAATTATCTTATACGAATTCGATGAGATTTTCATAAGCGGTTCGTAAGAAAGACATAAGAAAGCTTCAAATCGAATGCCACGCAAAAAAAGCTTGATCTCTAGTTCTACGGAATATATGCGATTTACACTGCTATTGTACCGTTTCCGTGGAAAAATTGTGAAACATAAACTGTCTGGTGGACTTTTTTTGACTATCTCAATAAATCTGATAGCCCAGGCGATGATAAAAAGCTAATTTTCCCCACTACCCCTTTCATTTTTCTCAGAAAACAGGTTTTCGCTACGAAAAGTATAAGAATCCCAGAGTCCATTGTGATATAGACGATATAAATTGTCCATGGAAATTTTATTCGAATACATCAATCGATAGATCTCGATAAGGCGCCCCTGATGACGTGCGATTCAACGCGGTTTATTGCCAGCGAAAGCGTCAGCAGTTATGCAAACTTTTGAGAAAATGTATCGTTCAAGATTCTTCAGCTTCGAAAAACACAACTACTACATGACAAGGCTACTAGACGTTTATTGACCAGATTTGTATCGCCAAGTTTCATCAAATAGTTTACGATAAAGTTAAATTTAGTGTATTTTTCATGAGGACATGATGAATTTAATCTCATAGGATATTGTGAACTGAAAAAACCTCATGGGACATGTTTCTACCAAAAATTGATTTTTCTCAGAATTCATCCGAAATTTCCGAAATACGTGGTGGAGGCTAATAAAACGGATTCTACATATCTCTGAACATCATTCGTTAACACTGACGGATGTTTAACGATTCTTACTATGGAATGATTATCGAAAACGGTTGTGAATCCTATATTTAACACTTCAATTCAATATAATTCAATTTTTATTTGGCATGATGTAATAAACAGGATAGTTAGAAGAAAACAGAAGTTGTGACACTATAACATCCGAACAAAAAAGAGAAAATGATAAAGAGAAAAATAGAGAGACAAACAAAACAAAAAGAAAGAATAACCAAGAAAAACTGAGAAAAAGTAAACAAACCTAAGAAGTCTTCTTGTTTCATATCGAAAGATGATATGACTGATCTTGTCAGGTGATTCCATTTAGAGACTGTTCGAGTTAAAAAAGCTGAAAACGATAACACTCTCCGCTTATTAGTTGTGATTATCCATCGATATTTGTTGTTTAGACGATCGAATGTACACATAGTGGTGTCGGTATATTCAAGTTAGAAAGTGCACTTTTCTCTATCATCATTTTTTGTAGATGAACTAATCGAAAATATTTTCGTCTTTTAGATAGTATATTGGTAATTTTGACTGGTGAACTAAAAGACCACTATCGGGTACATAATCTTTAAGAATCATATGAGCGACAAGTTTTTGGACTGACTCAAACGGTTGAAGATGACTTCTGAAATCGTTGTCAGTCACACAGCAACCATAGTTAATTGAAATTTTGATGATAAAATGTTGAAGAATGACCATTTACATCCAAATAGTGATAGTGATAAATATTTAACAAATGTACTTTTGACCACCAAACATCTTTAGATACAAATGATCATCAAATTTTCCAGCAGGCATCTCGCATTATTATTTTTCAACAAAGTATAATGTACAACACAAAAACATACACATTGAGATTTTAACCAAATGAATAATATTTTTACAGTTTTATTTATATCTATTTAAATAATTTAAAGCTGTGCTAACTCT